GAGTTGCGGGGCAGGCCTGCTTTTCGTCCTGCCCGGCTCCCGCACGGCTAGCTTAGTCCCAGAAATAACAACACACAAATTGTATTCATTTAAGCACTGCCTGGCTCATTATCTCTAGAGAGTTAGTTACTGACTAACTCTCATATCTTGATATTAACCCATTTCTAATAATCTGTAGCACCACGAGGTGGTGGCTTACCGGAAAAGATTCAGCATGTCTGACCTGGTGGCTGGCTCCATGGCTTCTGCCTCACTGCCCTCTTCCCAGCATTCTATTCTGTTTACTCCGCCTACCTAATTTTCTGTCCCATCAAAGGGCCAAGGCAGTCTCTTTATTGACCAATGAAAATAACACAATAGACAGATAACCCTCCTCCATCACCTAGGTACATACCTTTACCTCCCAAATTAAAAATGGACACTCAAATTCTTAGATACATATATTCACAAAGGCTCTACTCATAACAGCTCAAAGGTGGAAAGAACCTAGATACCCATTGTGCTGTCTTGTCCTAGGTCAACTTGACACCCAAAGAGCTATCTGAAAAGGGGAACCACAATCGAGAAAATGTATTCACAAGATCAGGTTTTGGGCATTTTCTTAGTTAGTGATTGATGTGAGAAGGCCCAGCCCATTGTGGATGCTGTCCTCTCTCTCTCAGGCTGGTGGTCCTGAGCTATATAAGAAAGCAGGTTGGGCAAACCAGGGGAAGCAAGGCAGTAAACAGCACCCCTCCATGACCTCTGCATCATCTCCTGCCTCTAGGTTCCTGACCTGTTTGAGTTCCTGTCCTGACTTCCTTCAGTGATGAACAGTGATGTGGAAGTGCAAGCCGAATAAACCCTTTCCCCTCCAACTGGCCTTTTGGTCCTGGTACCCATTAGCTGTTAAGTAGACATACGAATTGTTATTCAGCCATAAAAAATGAAGCTTTGATAAATGATACAATGTGGATGAACCTGAAAAACAGCTTCATGTGCTATGAAAGAAGCCAGTTGGAAGAAGTCTCATATAGTATGCATGATTCACTTACAGGAAGTATCTGGTATAAGTAACTCCGTGAAAGCAGAAGCAGATCAATGGTTTCCAGGGATTGGTGAAAGGTGGGAATAGAAAATTACTGCTCAAGGGGTCTAGAATTTCCTTTTGGGGCTGTGCAAATGTTTCTGTCCTAGAGAGAGGTGGTGGCTGGAACACACTGTGATTGTACTAAATGCCCCTGAAATGTTCACTTTGGAATAGTGTGATGTCTAGTTTTGCTAACTTGACAAACTCTAGAGACCTGGAGACACCTGGGAAGGGAGCCTCAGTGAGGAGTTATCTATACTTCATTTATTTATTATTTTACATATATGGGTGTTTTGCCTGCATTTACATATATGCCCTACACATGTGTCTGGTTCTCTTGTGGATCAGAAAGCGGTGTTGGATTCCTGGGAACTGGAGTTCTAGAGGGTTGCAAATCATCATGTGGCTTCTGAGAATGGAATCCTGGTCTCCTGGAAGAGAAGCAAGTGCTCTTAACTGCTGATCCGTCTCTCTAGTCCCTCTGTGATGAGTCGCATAGACAGGTTGGCCTGTGAGGAGTCTGTGAGGGTGTTATATGGATTAAGTTAATGCCTGGGAAGGACCTGCCCACTCTGGGTGGCACCATTCCCCAGGCAGAGGATCCTAGATGTGTAAGAGCGGAGATGGTGAAGCAAGCATGCATGCATTCACCCCTTGCTCTCTACTCTTGACTGTGGATTTAATGTGTCTCGCTGCTTTTCATCCCTGGCAGCTTGACTTCCCTGCGACTTCTGAGCTAAAAGAAATCCCTTTTCCTCTGTGCTGCTTTTATCAGGGTATTTTGTCAGAATCAAAAATAAGGAAGATGGCTTTATGTTTTTTGAAAAGTTATTTTGATGCTTGCTATAGTTTGGCTCTCAGAGGTCTGCTGCAGGTTCATATGTTAAGATTTGATTGGTAGCCCATGGTGCCACTGGGAAATGGTAGAACTCTAGGAGAGTGGTCTACTAGAAAGAAATTAGGTTACTGAACCATATACCAGAACCCGGAACTCTGTCGCTCTTCCTGGCTCCCCAGACAGGATAGGCCTTGCCAGGTCCCTAAAGACTATGGAGTGACACCCAAAACCATTTTAGAGGGTTGCTCCAGGCATTTTGCTATATCCATGGAAATATGATTAATATAATATTGATTTTTAAAATACAAGTTATGGACAAGTGTCTGAATGAAATATACTTAAAAGGTAACTTGGGTTTTGCCTATCTGATGTTCAGTCTTAGAGCCTGATTGGCTCCTGCTCGTCTGTGCCCTTGATGTAGTCATCAACTTTGATTTCTACCAGTTACAGTATCTCTGAATCCCTTACTGTACTCAGTGCTGGCAGCCCTGAGGTGATTGGCAGGTCTGCAGTTGATTAGTAAATGCTCTTGCTGGGCAGGGATGGTGCTTCAGGACTGAGTCCCTTCCTTAACAGCCTGCGTTTTGGAACCAATGTCATCTAGAATAACTTCAGTCTTGAACCTGCTGAACCATTGTTCTAGTTGTGACTACAGTCGAAGCTACTGTGCTCTGAACTTAAGGAAATATTAATTGAAAACTAAGTTAAATGACTTAATCCCGGCATTTAAAGTTACAGGTAATTTAAAGTTACAGGTAAACTTGGTCATCCGGGGATGTGGATATGTACTTTTGTGTGTTTTATTAACTAACCCCTCCACAAGAACCATAGGTTTTCAGGTCTTTATGAATCCCCTTCTATCAGCCTCAGGAACATGGGTGCTGTGGAATAATCCTTTTGTACATTGTGAAGATGTGTTGCTCTCATGGTTAATAAAGAGCTGACTGGCCAATACCTAGGCAGAAAGAGGTTAGGTGTGAGAGCCAAACTGAGAGAATGCTGAGAAGAAGGAGTGTGGATTTGCCAGCCAGATACAGAGGAAGTAGGAGATAAATATGCCATGCTGAAAAAAGGTATCACCATGTGGTAGAGTGTAGATTTAAAAAATGGGTTAATTTAAGTTTAAAGAGCTAGTTAGTAATAAGCCTGAGCTATTGGCTGAGCATTTATAATTAATAAAAAGTCTCCAGTGGGTTACTGGGGAGCCAGAGGTCCTGACGAAAAACTCTGCCTACATATGGATGGGCTGGACCTAAATGGAACCATAGGTTAGAAGAATTTTGGCCAGTTTCTAAGAACTATCTGCTTCTCTGACCCCTCTTCAGAGCTATCTACTCTGAGGTCTACTACAGTCTCCATGCTGCAAAAGCCCCAAGGCACTCCCTACCTTACCTGGTTAGCCACAGTGTTCCGGCAGAAGGGCATACCTGGGCTCAGAGTGGCTCCTAGAGACTGGGGATTCAGATAACAGCGGGGAGATGGCCCTTCCTTCTCTTTGAGAGTCATTTCCATCCCGCTCCCAATGGAGATAAATAACCCTCGAGCCTTTTCTTTATTTGCTAATACTGGGACAAGACAGGGCCAGCTGGTGAGACCAGCATCTAACAGAAGTTCTCACTGTCCCCCTCCAGTGGCCACAAAGGTCTTGTTCTTGACACTCCATCCCAGCGAATGCCCTGGGAGGCTCCTCAGTCCTTCTTGCAAAAGGACCTGTCCTGCTGGCTCCCTGTCTAAAATCTTAAGTGAGGTTGCAGGGCAGGCCCAGGTTCCAGGTCTCAAGAAACTATTTTCCAACCATTTATCCTGTGCTGGCATCAGCGTTCCAAGGGCGTGGGCTCCTATCACCCCGTGCTGCTGTGGGCTTTCTGTTGACAACTTCTTGAGCTCAGGCCAATTTGGACTTTTATGCTAAGGAAGGACACTTCCTCCAGGACAAACATATCCAAGAGGCCAACCAGGCACCCACAGGGCCCGTTCTCCATAGAGCTAGCCAGGTTTCCTCAAACCTGCTTCATCCTCCACCGTTGCTGCCACTCCCCGGCGGCCTGCTTGCCCTCACCTGCCCCAGGCTTCTTCTAGCCCATCAACACTCTCTCTTCTTCTGCCTCTCTTTCTCGGTATGAACTGCACCCCGCTTCTGCCCTCAGAGGAGGAGAGGAGAGGGGCTATTGGGAAGAGGTGGAAAGTGAAAAGGCTGTAGGGACTTTAGGTCCAAAATAAAGGAAGCCCGAAAGACTGGGGCAGTTTTTCATTCAACTTAAGTGAAAATCCAAATGTACAAAGATGTGAAAATCAGAAAATGGAAATAGCTTTGCATGTCAGCTTCAATACTTCCCTCCCTCCCTCCTTCCCTTCCTGCCATCTCTCCCTCCTTCCCTTCTGATCTCTAGTATTTGGAAGGAAAGGACGTCAGAAATCAATACAGTCACCAGTTTATCGGTAGATATTTAAGTCTTGCACTCCCTGGCGAGTCCAGTTGCTTGTGGCTAAAGTCAGAGAGATCTGGAACACAGTGTATCTCTTGGGGAGCATGTGAGTGGTTTGAGATAGACTCTCAGAGCCTTTTAGTAAGGAGCTTGGGTAGTAAGTGGGGCATGAACATCTCCCGCAGGGCAAAATACAAACATTTGCAGGGTTTGGCAACGCCCCTCCTTCCCGTAAAGTCTCTACCCTCCCCTCAGTTATGCACACCAGACTGGCCTGTGGGGGGTGTCAAGGGGAATATTTGTTAATGTATCAGTTTCTATTAAAACTGAATTCATCTTACACTCACTCTCAGAGGTTGGAACTGCCAGACCCGAGTCAAACAGAAGAGGGAAAAGGAGGACGGAAAGACACCAGGTAAAGCTAGCGCTAGGTCAACAGTTAAGAAATACAGTCATCAGAGAGGTGACTCCCAGAAAGTGACTGTAAACTGTGCGGCTAACTTCACGGACATCTCAGATCTGGGATACAGGTTCTCAAATTTGTTAGGAAATTTTATGCAAAACAATATGTAAATAGAGAGCATTTTTTAAAAAAAGATTCCAGCCCTTTCTTGGGTCACACACAGGTTAGTGAAGGACTCGCCCTGTCACTCCGCAGCACCAGTTCACGAGGAAGGGCTCAGAGGAGGGCTGTGCCGGGGGCGGGACCATGACGTTAAGGTCAAGGCGGGGCCTCCTCTTGTTCCTCCCTTGGCTGCGGCCGCCGCGGCGGTGCCTTTGCATCGCCAAAAGGGGCCCTCTGACTTCTCACTGGGCCAGTCCGGTGCTGGGTGGCGGAGCCGCACACTGCTCCAGCCGGTCTTGGAGCGGGACTCCCTTCTTCCCCGAGTTGCGAGCAACTTTCCCTGCCCCTGGCGTTAAAGTGGCTCGGGGACCGTGGCCGCCGCAGGTGGGTGAGCCCCGGGCCCGGCTCTCCGCGTCCCGGTTGTAAGCTCGAGCAGGTCAAGTCTTTGGCGCGTGCACCGTGGGGGTCCCCCGCGTCGGCTCTGCAGGCGAGATGCCTCTGGGACACATCATGAGGCTGGATCTGGAGAAGATCGCCTTGGAGTACATCGTGCCCTGTCTGCACGAGGTTGGCTTCTGCTACCTGGACAACTTCCTAGGCGAGGTGGTGGGCGACTGCGTGCTGGAGCGAGTCAAGCAACTGCACTACAACGGGGCCCTGCGTGACGGCCAGCTGGCGGGGCCGCGCGCCGGCGTCTCCAAGCGGCACCTGCGGGGCGACCAGATCACGTGGATCGGGGGCAATGAGGAGGGCTGCGAGGCCATCAACTTCCTCCTGTCCCTCATCGACAGGCTGGTCCTGTACTGCGGGAGCCGACTGGGCAAATACTATGTCAAGGAGAGGTCCAAGGTAGGATGCGTGCGGGCGCTACAGCTGCCAGGGACGGGAAACCTTCCTTCGGAGTGTTGTGTCTCCTTCGCTGGGCTGCAGCGAACTTTGGTTTATGACCAAGAAATCAGCTTGCCTTATCTGCTCCCTCGCGTCCCCTCCACCTCCCGGCCCACCTCCTTAAGCAAAAGTCCACGTTAAGGGGCTCAGGTGTGTCGTGGTGATGAGCTTCTGCCGACTCTGAAAGAATTACTCTGGTTTTGGTGATGTTCGCAGGACAACTGGCTTGTGGAGGGAAAAGATTCCAAACACTGCAACACACATGTCCGTGATCCGAAGTGCCTGCTTTAAAGCCAACCCGGCATTGCCCTTCACTGTGCAGAGGCACTCACTCTTAACCCTACTAGAGGCAAGTGCACTTTTTGCCTTGTGTGAGTTGGTTTGTAGAGTCTGGTAGGGTGGGAAGGAAGAGTTTGATATGTGGACCGGTTAAGACGCCACTTCTGCGTGCAGCCTTTGACCCCTGGCACCCAGGATTCTCTTAGACCCATCGACCCAACTGAAAAGTCTCACCTGGTGCCGAGCCCTACGGCCGTCGCCTTTCTTTTCCTATAAACTCATGGCAAAGTCCACTCAAACAATCTGATAAGGACCTTGGAGAGAGTGGTGAAGTATCTCTAGGTAGAAACCTTGTTTTTCTTCACAGAGCCGGGTATGGTGCGGTGGGTGGTGGTGATTTATGTTGGAAACGTTTCCAGGTAGAGATTGGCAGGCAGGCCAATGGGAGGTGGAGGGGCTGAGACGGTGCACACCCATTGCTTTGTTGCTTTGGGTCAGTCTTGGCTAGCTACCTTGGCCTCTTCTTCCTTTAACGATAGTCAAACCCTCTTTCCAGGAGCAATTCAGAGTGATTTGTCCTGACATTGCTGTCTGGTCAAGAGACTCTCAGAATCATTGAAACTTGTCAAGTCTAGCGAGGCAGAGCCTACTAGCAACTGAGGGACCATGAGCCTCCGCACCACTCTTTGATATTAAATGTGAGGTTTCCCAGTAGAGGTTTGGTCTTAGGATGAACTTTTGTAGTCTTATTTGTCCCCCAAACTGGAAAGAGTATTCTTATTAAAAAGCAAGCAGTCCACTAGAAATGTCTGGAGATGAAGGGCTGAGATGGATGAGTTGTGTGGGGAGCTGAAAACTGCCATCAAGCTAGGAGGATGTGTCCTGCCTGACTGCCTGACAAGTGTCCTCATGGACGCTTGGACTCAAAGTCAATCTTGGAAGAAAGTTTTGGCGTCCACATTTTAGTTTGATTTGGGAGTAGTTTGGAGTTAGCAGGACTCTGTTGAAGCATGATGGTAGAGTGTGGTTTTTTCTTCTTCCGTGAGTTTGGTGGTAGACTCGAAGGTCATCTGTGTTTTGATCAGTGTTGTTTCTGCCCTAAATAACCTTGCAGATAACCCTAGGGTTAGCCTCCAAGTCTGCTTTGACCTGGAAGGACAAATGGCTCCTTATCAAGTCGGTAAAGTTTCTAACAAACTTGGGTGTTAAAGAATTTTCCCTCGGTGGTTTAGGAATAAATTTCCCTCCTCTGAGGGAGACTGAAATTAATTGATAAGTCATGTCACGAATAGAGTTTAAAATTTACATTACTTTGACTTGATGGATGACAGGGATCCCGAGCAAAAGTTTAATTCAAAGGGAATGACAACGAAACAAAACAAAAAACCTTAGTCACCCAGGGTAAGGTGGCAGGCTGGGTGGATTTTTCAATCCCAGGTTCTCTCCTGGGCGGACGAAGTCTCTTGTCAGCTGTGTCAGAAGGTGACTATGCATTGGAAAGGGAAGTTGGTCTTACCCCCCTGAAGAGGCGTCTTTCCTTACCCAGATTTCGGCTCTCTCCACTTTTCCTGGCACAAAGCTTCATTCATACCCTGTAGAAAGTCCACCTCTACATTGGACTATTCCCTGGCTAATTAGAACCAAAAAAACAAAAACAAAAACCAAAAACAACAAAAACACCAAACAAGCAAAAACCAAGCTTAACAATCACTGTAGCTGTTTTCGTTTGTTTGTTTGTTTTTTAAACTGTAGCACTTTGATTTACATCTGTGAGACAGCAACCTCCCGTCCCTTACTCCGAGTTCGCCGATGATGCATTGTAAGGAACATCCTGTCTATAGGGCCACACTGCTTCCTTTCAGTTGGCCTGTTTTCTTCCTTACGTGCCTTTCCTCCCTCCGCGTCCTCATTCTGTACAGCTTCCCACAGTACTGATATAGACAGACCTAGTTTCCTGCTTATAGTTTCAGGGGAAATTTTTTTCATAGAGAGAATTTGTACAAATCTTAAACTTATTTATAACTTTTGATGGAGGGAATTTCTAATATTTACAAATATAGATGGGCTAATATGAACTTCCACCAGGCAGTTCTAGCAGACTTTTTTTTTTTTTTGCTCTAAAGTACACTTTAAATTTCTATGCATTGTGCTTATGAGTGCGTACATCCTCGTTGCATTTTATTTTTTTTAACTGGACTTGTAAAGGTCATTGAATACTGTGAGTGGAATTGCAAAGACACTGGGAATAAACAAGAGTATTTACTGGACCCCAAACTGAAACTGTGGGAGAGCTGTTAGGTGGTACCTTTCCCTGTCAAAAGTAAAAGTTGCTATTGGTTAGACTTTGTCTGCTTTTCTTTTGTTGAAGCCAAGTGGGGTTTGGAGTTCCCCTGGGGAAAGCAGAATCCCCTTGTGCCCAGGAGTGTGGCATGGCGCCCCCTACCCTCAAGTGTGGTCATTGCTTCCAGCTAGCATGGGTTATCTGTTCGTCCCTCCTGGAGATGGAGACCATAGCCAAGACAAATACCGCTTATAATTTGCTCCTTTTCTTTGGCTGCCCAGAGTTTGGAAATGGCTGTTTTCCAGAGAACGTGTAATTTATAGAACCGAATGTCCCTTTGCCTGAAGCACTCACTGTAGACCCAGAGTTGGGAACGCTAGCAATAATAAATACCTTTTACCGAGCAGTGTGCTGCTGCCTGGCTCCTTTCTCAGCACTGTGCTAATGTGCTGGCTTTACTTACTCTTCTCCGCAGCGGTCCTGAAGGAACTGAGCACCTAAATAATAGACCCAGGGCCTCTCCCAGTGAGGGCAAGAGGCAATTTCCGAAAGAGTTCGGGAGTGAGGCTTGGCATTGCTAAGCCTGTGGCTTTTGAGAAGTCGTTTAGGTCTTATTCAGTGTAAAATAATAACAACACAAAGACTTTGGGGGAAAAGACTTTATAATCCATGTAAAATTCTTAGAATTTTCAGTCTCTGTCCTTGCTTAAAGGCTCCGAGTGAAGTGTGAGATTCTAGTCTAGATTTGTCTGACTGAGTGTGTGTGCTTAACCATTAAGCTTTTCAGTTTAATACCCCAAGTGCACATGTGTGTCTGTGGGTTTCTGTGCAGAACCCTTGTGAGCCAGCTTACACTCACACATACAAGTGAACTGTAGAATAGTCTAGTTCATAGTTAACTATATCTCAGGCTATAACACACACACACACACACACACACACACACACACACACACACACACGTTGAATGAAGTGGATCAGTCAAATGCCTTTGAAGGGATGAAGTTCCGGGTTGGATTTTCCAGTGCTGTTTTTAGGAAAGTATTGCTAGGGCAGTTATTAGGACCCTAACCAGAGCATCTGTGGACTGTGGTGGTGACAGGGTTTGTTAAGTGCAGACAGGCCAGCCCTTCCCTGGAGACAATGCAGAGGGCCAATGAAGCAGCAGGAAGTTGATGAATTAGAGAAAGCTCAGCACGCGGTGGTGGGCTTGCTCCCCGTTGTGGAGCAGCTGTTTGGCCCACCCTTCTGGTTGTATCCAGAGCGCCCACCCGTTACTTAATGGAACTCACCCTAGCTGGACATGACTCTAAGCAAACATGGGATGAGGTACGGTGCCGATCAGATATCTCTCAGCACACAAGCACAGGAAATGCAATCAGGAGTCTCAGAGGACTGGAGCCGTGAACATGGACCCTTCGTATCCAGCTGTGCTCACTTGCTGAGTTTTAAGGCCTTTCTCTTTGCTCCTCTGCTTGTGCTCTCTCTCTTCCCCCTCTCCTTCTAGTCCAGCGTTTGCTGCTGCTGTACACACATGGCGTAAGGTTATGCCTCACAATGGCCGCTTCAGCCTTGAGGCCAAGATGGACGGAGGCTTGAACACAAGCCCAGAATTCAAGTTTCCATTGCCCTGGAGAAAGCCTGCTTGTCTTCACCTTAGCTAACTTTGGGGCCCCATGAGCCCTGGTTGGGGTGACGGAAGCCTATCGAAGCAAGTATCACAAATGTGGTTGCCAGAGCCCACGGCAGGCAGGCGTGATTCTTAGAGAGCAGAGGTTTGCCTGTACCGTCTCTACAGTTATCGTCTTCACCTGTTTGAAGAGATCATTTCTGCAACACAGCCTCAGTGAGAGGGAAGCCTGTCGTTGGTGAGGGAGCAAGCATTCACTGCGCTGTGTGGCTACTCAGGCGTCTTCCCTGCTCATGACCGAGCTAGAAATCAGTGGGCATCGGGTTAGTGTTTTCTCCAGAGGGTAGCTGGTGTCTGGTTGCTCTGTGGCAGATCTTAGTGAGAATGGGTAGGTGGAAGAAGGAGGGGAGTACTTAGAAAGCCCAAGGACTAAGGTGAGCGTGGATGTAGCAGTCAGCACAAGTGTAACTGATGTCACCCCGACCATCTTTAGTCTGGTTTTCTGATTGGAAAACCCACCCTTGCATTCTTTAGTCTTGCTTTCTTTGGACTGTTATCCGAGGCAGAGGTGGGTGGACCTCTGTGAGTTTAAGGCCAGCCCGGTCTACAGAGCGAGTTCCAGAATAGCCAGTGCTACCCAGTGAGATGTCTCAAAAGTATTTTTATTATTTTTAATTATGTGTGTGCGCATATCTGTGTGGGGGTGTGTGCAGGTGCCTGTAGGTCAGGAGTGCCATTATCTCCTGAAGTTGGAGTTACAGGTAGTTGTAA